GTTTCCAATTCCTTTTTTAAGATCCAAGAGCGTTGATCATATATAGTAGGGAGCTTAAAACCTCTTCTATACGAACCAATAGCCCGACACATGTTAATGAATGAAGGAGATTCTCTAGCGTTGAAGGGTATTGCATTTTCGAAAAAGAATCTGCTAACATCTAAGCTGATTTTACTGCGTAGCTCTTTCAGAGTCATCTTTGGAGTTTGATTGTCTATTTCTTCCTCATCACCACTATTTGTAATATATCTATCCATTGGTCCCCTAATGCCTCTCGTAGAATCTTGCGCTTTATTATTGTCATCTCCCTCATAGTAATTACCAAGTGTACAATGTCATCAAATTATTGTTGTGAAATGTGTTTTTTCATGGTTCCTGTCTTCATATAATCTTCGATCTCTTTTTTGACATTTTCTGGAACATTGGGACATGGAGCTACATTCTTATGTGTGCATGCTAAATGTTCTTTCAAAAGTTTGACCCCTCCAGTAATTGTTTTCTTGCAAAACTGGCATTCAATATAGAGATAGTTCTTCTTCTCATCTCTCGAACTTACGACTTCCTTTCCATATTTCCAAGCTGGATCTTTTCTATTGCTCTTTCTTTTAATCATACTCTCTCTTTTTGTATTTTTTCTTTTATATCTTGTGACTGAAACATTGAAGACAGGTGGTATTGGAATTGCAGTTGAGAAATAAGAGCAGCATGCGTTGTCAATGGGAAAAAAAAAAGCATAGCCTGCTACAGTACATACCTGCTGGAGATACTTTTTCAGTTGTCGGAATAGTTGTAGCCAGCAGCCTTTAACAGTTGCAGTAGAGTCTGAGAGGAAACAGCTGTCTTGCAAGTAGTAACCTACTTCAGCCTTTTTCTGCGTATTTTTCTTGTGTTAGGTGACTTAGGTCAATAATATATTTATATAGGCCTGCAGGTAGGTGTTGTAGTACTATTAAAGTAGAGGAAGACTTGGCATTTTCTAACTTTTTGGGCCCAGTTTTTAATATAATAAAAGCAAAAGGGTCAGGTCTGAGGCGTACGAGAGGCGTGCAGTAGATTCAATTAATGTGCACGCCTCTCAAGATTAGCCTCAGATTTCACGCCCCGAGGCACTAATACGCCTCCAATTGAGGCGCACCCTCTTGACCGTTTTTTCATACCATGGATGGAATTGTCTACCTAAGACCCCTAGAGGAGGCGAAGAAGCCATAGGGACGGCCATTCAAGAGTATCGATAATCGACATTTCGAAATGTATGGACTGATCCCATCAATCCATAAACGATCAAATCAAAAGCCATCGAGGATAGAGTAAAGGAAGCTCCAATTTATGCGATCATATGCTTTAATTATATCAAACTTCAACACCGTATTCCTTTCTCTCACTTCAGTATCTAGAGTATGGAGAATTTTTTGAATCAATAAAACATTATCCCCAATTAGACGACTCGGGATAAAACTACTGTGTTGGGGAGAAATACTGCGCGGCAGCAAAGTACTTAATTGAGTATTTAACATCTTAGTGATAAGCTTGTTAAATGCCTTACATAAGCTAATTGGTTTGTAGTCTATCTACCAGCGCCCTCCCTCTTCGAGATCAAAATAATAGAAGTGACAACAAAGAAGTCTAAAACTGCCCCATAAACACCATCGTGTATGATATCCCAACAATGTTGGTAGAATAAGAATGAAAAGCCACCAGGGCCAATGGCGCTATCAACGTTAATACTAAATATCGCCTCTCGAACCTCATGAATCAAATGGGGACAGTTAATAGCCACGTTATCTACTTCAGTCACAAGCCCGGGAATAGTGTTTGACAGTATGTAGTCCACTGGTTGTGAGTGAGCAGAAAGAAGGTCCTGAAAAAAGAGACAGCCAAGCTTTGAATACCATCAGGAGTAGATATCCCTTGTCTAGGTTCTAATAAACCAATGCTAGAGCAAAAGCGACGTCCCTGAACCAACAAATGAAAGTACCGGGTGTTGCATCCCCCTCACTTGTCCAGCGTGAACTGACCTTTTGCTTCCAAAAATCCTCATCAATGGATAAGGTCCAGTTTAGATCCCCCTGTGCCAGGTGTAGAGCCATTTCTGAGAGACGAAAGCTGAGAAGGCATGATGTTTGGTCCAAACATTGAGGAATCGAAAAGACCTAGGTCCCGATTCATCATTAGCAGACCACTGAATCATAAGAAGTTCGATTCAGATGCCTAACATAAAGCCGTCGACGAAAGGATGCGGCTACCAAATTATTCATAACTTCGTCCAATCTCTTCCACACCCGACTGTTGGTCCAAGTAAATTGAGCTCTAGAGAACTTGACATCCTCGAGACCACAGTCCGATCATGTCAGAAAAATCAGTAGTACCTCCATTATGTGTATTATGCATCGTGCACTCACCATCATGTGCAATAACGTTAAAATCACCACCAACTAGCTACGGGCCATCCATAGTGACGGAAATGTG